TATTAAATGACGATCTCACATTCTGATGTGCGTGATTTGTAGTATTTGTACTCGCAGTGCAGAACCTAAACCATGTTAACATTTGCTATTTATTTTAATACACGTACATTAGTATTATAGAATACAATAAACACAATGATAATACCATTAATACCTCTAAAATGAGACAAAACTAGGACGGGAGGAGCTGATATAATTAAAGTCATGTAGTAATATTTGATAACTTGGAAGACCTTTGGAAGTTTTAAGACAAACGATCGAAATGTACATGTACTATATATCATGCAATTATGATATTTTACAATTTGGGAGCTACGTGCCTTCATATCCATTAACAGCCCATACTAGACTCTATAGCGTTCCATCCATCCCCTCCCCTTATACGCATTCAGAAAACATTTTATTTTAATACTCAAAGTCTAAACGATAAGAATACTTTGGTCTTAAACTTTTCAGTAAGATTTTTCGAACCGATTAAAGTGGGCTACGTAAAAGTTTAATTCAATCATGTTCACCTCAGCTTAAAGCTCGCCTGCACTAGTTTGGCCAGGAGGGATTAGACCTCCCAGCATGGTCACTGACAGGTGGTTATCTCATCAACTCAGCTCTCTATTATAAGAAAAAGAGGATCATGGGGCACCAACAGGCACCGCTTAGGCATTGTTTTCTATATGGGAGCAAGTAGTGCAGTAGGGCTTTAAACATTGAAGAAAAAACACAATGTATTTGCATTTAAATTGTAATTTTTAGGGGAAATGATTCATTCGGTGCTTGCGTTTTTCTTTGTCTGTTTAAGTTTGTGGGTGTGTGTGGGAGGAGGGTTATTGATGATAAAATATCGAAGTATAATGGACTAAAAGCTTACTTTGCATCTTGGTCTAAAATATAAAATTTAACTTTTAAATATATATTTTGTGTTTTTTAAACTTTCTGTGAGTAGAAATCAATAACATGCAGACAAGAAACACACGATGATCAAAAATAGCAACCTCATATCCTTTTTTCTGTTGTGGTTGAGTTTTTATATGGTGAATGTGTGTTTAAAATTTTCTTGAAAACAGTATCCTAGCATGGAATAATAAATCAATGTCAGAGCTACGGCACAGGTTTGATATGATAATTTAGTAAAATCATCGGATTTGTTCAGTCATTAATCTTATAGCTTAAAATTCATGTAAAATCATCAAGATACAATCTAAATTTATATTAATGAACCACTACCATGTTAGGTAGTGAAATTGAAAGTTAAGAATTGTGTCTGAAAAATATAGCCGATTCCTGGCAAATAGTGAAGAGGGGGAAACAAACAAAAACAACGATGACTCTATTTTGATTCTCTCTCCACACACTAAGAAAAAATGGTGCAACTATACACCTTTAGGGGTTCAAACCGATGCAACAATAGCAGCACCTTAAGGGGTTAAATCCTGCACCCTTTTTAAAGGTGCAATCCTGCACCCTTTAAAAGGATGCTAGATTGAACCTTTTGGGGAAAATGTTAGTACCCTTTATGGTTCAATCCTGCACCTTTAGGGGTGCAAACCGATGCAACAATAGCAGCACCTTTAGGGTTTAAATCCTGCACCCTTTAGGAGGGTGCCAGAATGCACCTTTTAGGAGACATGTTAGTACCCTTAATGGTTCAATCCTGCTCCTTTAGGGGTGCAAACCGATGCAATAGCAGCACCTTAAGGGGTTCAATCCTGCACCCTTTAAAAGGTGCAATCTTGCACCCATCATCAAGGAATACTCGTGACATTTGCTCGTACACATATACATATTAAACATGCATGATATTTCTTGGTTAGTAATCATAATCAATATATATATTGCTAAAACGTGAATGTATTTGTAACATGATAAAAAAAAAAATCTATTGGTTAATGATTGCCGAAGGAAAATACAAATCACAAAATTGATGTGCATTGTCATAATTTGCTTAACAAATCATATGATAAATGTATTTTCATGTGAACACGTGGAAAATAATCATGAATATGCATGCAATATGCATGCAATATGCAAACTTTTATTTTGCACCTTTTGGGCTTGTTAGGGTTCATTTTTGTGGGAAAGGTGCAAAATCTTATATTGCACCCTTTTTTGAACCCCCTTTCCTTCAATAGGGTTCATTTTTATGTAAAGGGTGCAAACTCTTATTTTGCACCCTTTTTTGCACCCTTTTTTTCTTAGAGTGCATGTTTGGGGTCTTATTCACACTTGAGTGCCTAATGAATATTCCCCAACACTTGAGTTCATTTTGGATTGAGAAAGATATATCTAACCTTTTTTAAAATTTAATTTTGATTATTGACGATCCCTCTTGATGACCCTAAATGGATATTTCATGAAAGCCCAACCCCTCCCCCCCCCCCCAAAAAAAAAAAAAAAACTGCAGAAGTGAAAATGATAAATAATATCCTTATCTTTTTTGGATTTATTACATTATTGCGTTGTGAATAAACAAAAATGAAAGCGTTAACGCTATTGATAAAGGAACCTAAAATTCGTGAAAACGTACTAAACAGAACGGGTCTGTTATGTTCATGAAAATATAGAGAATGTTTGCCTGGTTCTTTGTTGTTGTTGTTGCATTTTTGTTTTACTTGTTTGTTTTGATTCGTATCGTTCTGTAATTATTTTTATGATTTTTCTTTTAACACGATCGGGAATGCTTTCGAAAAATCAACTCAAGGGCGATTCTGGTACCCATTGTAATAAATTTCCCACAGAAATCATGTTCGGGTTACGTAATACGGCATTGAATGTTCGCACGTTACTGGAATTGCCTTATTAAACGTTATTTCTTTCTCGAAAGTAGTTGTGATCGTCTTTTAAGTTCCGTGTTTCAACTCCGATAAAGCCAAACGCAAGTTTACATAATGGACACGACTAAATGTTATTCCATCTAAGATAAAGGAATATACTCACTCGGAGATTGTCTTCTTTTCCCCACTTTTCCCCGTCTACTCTAATTGATTTGGGTCTCCGAATACTTTAAAAATAATGGGAGACACGGATAAAGTTCTATTACAAAAAAAAAATGCTCATTTAAAAAAAAAAGTCCATCAAACCCATTGAGGTATATTGTTTTGTCTTCTTTCCCTTTCTTTTTCTTCCGCTATACTCATCTTCTGTTTCTACAACTTAACTATTACTACTATACTACTACTACTACTACTACTACTTCTTCTTCTTCTTCTTCTCCTTTTTTCTTATCCTCCTATACTCCTCAATATACCTCTCTCTCCTCTTAGTCTAAGTCTTCTTCTTTGTCTTCTTCCTTATCATGCTCTTCTTTCTCCTCCTTTTCTTCTTGTTCTTTGTCTCTTTCTTCTTTGTTTCCTTTACAAATTGATATGCAATGTTAAGGCACGCAGCACGGTAAGATAATGTCCGGAAAACCTTGCGAAATTTTCCTTTTTGAAATACATCACTGAAATGAGATTTTACCATATTTTATACTATATTTCCCCCTCTTCTCGTATTCTTATTCTCCTTCTTCTCCTCTATAAAAATGTTTCATGAAGGTTTTAGCGCTAGCCTATACAGTCATGATTGTGTACACCAAAATAAAATACCACTGAAAACTGTAAGATTAAAAGTATACATAACATTTTGTGAATACTTTTTTCATCCCTTTATAGGACTAATACTCGCGATTATTGTAAGTGGTAAGATACAATAAAAAAAATATAGGGGGAACATTACAAAATTGTTTGCATTAAGTCATGGATTGCGAGAAGAAAAAAATTATCTCGAAAGCAAAATTCTGAACTGTACAAACACGTGAAATGAAATATCAGACTATTAAACCTCCGTTAATGGTTAACTAAAAATTAGCTATAAATTCACTACAAAACGACAAAAATAGCCTAGCCCAACATTATTTTGATTAATAGTGGGAATTTACTGGCCGGGAATTGTTACCTTTTGCCAAATTATCAACAACAACGAACAAACAAACAAACAAAAACAAACAATGTGAAAATTAAGGTATAATTATGATTAAAGTACATGATAGTACTAAAACGTCAAATGTGATTCTAAGCTAATAAGAGCTCATACAGGCCAAATTCATACACAAACGATTATTCATGCACATAATAAGCTTTACGGCAGCTATTCTACACACTATGTAGAACGGTCTATACTAAGACGGGCCAACCTCGGACACCGGTGCATTTTTTTCAGAGAGCGCATTTTTGACTAACATACAAATTAAGTTCGAAAAGCACAATAATTTCACACGTATGTCGTCAATGTTTCTCTCTATTATCTATTGTACTTTTTATTCACCGTCTATATGGATGAAAAATCGAATACGGCCTGAAAATTAAATATAGCGAGGTTTTAATAAAGGGAGATATCCAGCTACAAGGGTAATTTCGATTGACGTTTATAAACAGGATGATTTGGTGGGCAATTCCCACGGAAAATGTTGCAAATTTTATTAAAGATGAAACAGGAAGCCTTCGTTGATGTTTGCAGGCAATCATAAACAAATGTTAAGCAATTCTTCGTTGAACTACCACTTAAAAACACGAATTTTAGGAGAAACCGGAATGAAACATGAAATGAATTTACACGTACATGACGGTCGAGACCTTAACAACTCTGAACAATCCGCGCATTACACTACAAAAAAAAGGTTATGTTCTCCCAAACAGAAAAGCATGACGATATTCGTTAGAAGAAATTCTAAGCTGCCACGAAGGACAAGAATTTTAATCAGTAGGGTGTATGGAGAGAGCGAATAAAGCTAGCAATTCTGAGGACAGCTGTAAACGAGTGCATGAAAACAGAGAGAGAGAACAGCCCTCCGAACACGCACTCAGCTCCGCACACGGCACTAAATCCACCATTTTGGATTCCACAATATTGACGAAAATTTACAATCGAATTTCACGTGAAAAATCACTCGGTGCAGCGCAACTATTAAGATTCACATTACCATCTTACGAAATATACATCTTTATAATATAGAGAAAACGACTCACATGTTTCCCAGACGGCAGTGTTCCGGAAACGAAATATATTAGCCAAACTTGGAGGCTTTGCAGGTCGATTTTCGATCTAGCAGCTTGTGTAACAACAGCGGCCTATACGGAAAAGACACGCAGTATAAAAGACTTGTGTATGAATGTGTGTGCGGTGATGAATGGCGGATAAAGTCACGTGACTAAATTCCAATTGACGGCTAACACGTACAGAATACATAGAAGAGTTGAACAGGCAGCAGGGTACCTACATATTCGTACAGATATTGTCTAGGGCCCTTCCAAAAGCAGCCAAGTATGCCGTTGTTTCGGAGTACCTCGTTGCGCTCTGACAGTGACTGGGGAAAATTTATGGCAAAGGTAGAGCCTTGCCGAACGCGGGAAAAAATGGAGAGACTTCGCACTATCTGCACGAACGCAGAGCCATTTTTTGCACTTTGTATACTGATATCATTTTCGCAAACGGATCGCGGGCGTATTAGAGTGTGTAGGATAGTGCGTTGGCATAGTGTGATAAGACTTCTTTTCTTTTTTATGACAATAGGATTTCATAATAACACAGAGAGAAGCGACAGATTGAAGGTTGTCTTTCTGGTTCTACTGAAATCGATTCGCTGTTTCGATTTAACTCGATTTACTGAGACGTCTCATTTTTATTTCCAGTCAGAATTTCTGCAATGGTAGGGGGTTGTTATTTTCAAGGTGATTAAGACAGTATGGTTTATATATAATATTTTTATATAGTTATAGACAAGAATAATGTCACGATCAATTTCATCAAATGCATATGACAATTTTCGCAATCATCATTTTTTTTTCATGCCAACCAAAAATTAAGATTTAAAACAAAAGTACTAACAAAATATCATTAATAGGCCTTTGCATCGTCCGGATTTAATCAGTCAAACAGATCGTCAATATTATTTTCACTAAATGAACAACTTGATGCGTTTTCTTTCATTTTCTCCACTTACTCAAAACAACAAAAATAGATAATTACACAGTCAAGAGAATAGCATTAACATATAACATTTTAACCGAATGTAAAAACTGTCATTTTTAGTACTGAAATAACAGGCAAATTTAACGTTTCATAAGTACGATATCAAAATGACACGTAATATAGGCCTATACCTTGTTGAGCAATAAATAGCTTTTGCGATGTTTATCAACTACAAATATTTATAAGTAGTTTATCAATCCATAATCTCATTAATATCTTGAATAGATTTCAAACGTCATCCACTTTCGGTTGAACCCATCATATTGGAAACATGAAATAGCAAATTACTCATTACCGCTCTCTTGAAATGGTATATGACCTGAAAGTGAAACGAAGAGGTGCACAATTATATCAATGATATTTCCTATTTAATATAGTGTATTTAGTATAACGAGTTAATATCATGATGATGTATTTCGTTTGTATTAGTTCCTGCCCCGATATTATTGTAAACAAAATAGGCCTGTTCTTATTTTGTTTCGTTTCTATGTATATGATTTCGAAGTCAGATATGTAAGGACTGGAAATAAAATGATGAAACATTAAAAGTCTCATTCACAGCGATTGTTTTATTATTATAGGAATAGGAAGTTCTTTCTAGTCAGTTATCTTTTAAAATGAGAACAGGATCTTAGTTCATATTTTGGCACGACTGATAAGAAAACAATGCCTATTGATATTATTTTTGAAAGTGATTATCAATATTCGTTGTGTTACAATAATTTATTTGTCACGTTTTGTTTTATGTTAAGGCCATTAAACCTTTGTTGAAATTAAACAATCATAAACATCATGAGAACATCGTCTTAATGAATTATCTTTATCTTCTCTAATTTACGTACAAGGTTATAGCTAGAAACACATATCAGTTGCTCATGCCGGTTCAATAAATTATTCATATATTTGAAATATTTGATTATTTGATTAATTCATAGATAATCTCTTTACATGGAAAATCGTACAGTCTAACGAATGGGAAATTTGTCGTGAAAAACAAACGCATTTCATATTTCGTTGCAAAAAGTTATGAGTTTTCTGGAAAATTATCTCAAGAATTATATATTTAATCTTTAAAATAGAAATTGAAATTCATATGAAAATGTTATTGATTGGATATGAAATAATAACAGAAAATTAATTTGACTTAATTTCTTGATAAATTATGCACAACTGGTAATATACAAAGATTACGTTAAGCGAAACCTTGGGGAAGTACCAACCAAGCCAAAGAGGTTAATACATAATTTTATTTCATCATTGAAATCTTATTTGAAATACAAAGCAAAATAATTTAAGATACTTTGATAATGAAAAAGTTAAGAAAGTAATAGAAATGTTATAAGGATCATTTTAAGAAATTATGTTGATCTTGTATATAATCCATATATTTCATTTTACTTGTTTTGTATTTTGAAATGTAATAATAAAGTCCCTCTGAAGAGGTAAAGAGAAGAAGAAAAAAAAATTGAAAGGTCCCTTATTTGTTGTAATAAAAATCAAATACTACTAGTTACTTCTGATTACAGTGTTATTAGTTGTATAGACTCGTCGATGTTTAAAGGGTGATTTAGATTTTTTATTTTAACGGCAAGGCATATTCATCATTAATATGCGTATATTGCCAGTGATTGCATACGAAGATCCTTAGGCGTTACTTGCACCCTTTTCTCATTTTAATTTGTTGATTCCGAACTTAACAAACGTATTCTGTTTTTTTTTCAGTTAATCAGATTTAATACAGACTTTAAAAAATGTATTTAACAAAAATATATATTTATGAAATGAATTATGTATATTTTTATATTTAGTAGGTTGGGAAATATCAAACATAAAAAAGAAAAGCTTCTTTGTATAGTCATTTTGTTTACTCCTTTCCATAATCAGAAGGAAACACAAATAAAATGAGACATTTTGGGGGATAATTCTGAGTTTTAAAATAGGCCTACATGGTTTGTATTTTCTAAATTAATGAATACTGTTGAAGCTTATCATAGAGTGGCAATGGAGAGCTTCAAAATGTGTTATTTTCTTCAGTTCTTTACATGAATATAAGAGAAATTTGAACTTTCATATAATTTTTTAAAAATAACACGATCAGCACAAGGGCAATTTTAATACCCTATATTGTACATCCTGTAGAAATCAGGTTTGGATTATGTAATACGTCATTGTGATGTTTGCGCGTTTATAAAGGTGTTGTGGTCGAGTGGATACGTCGCCGGACTGTCGATCACAAGGTCCGCGGTTCGAGTCCCGCCGCTGCACTAATGTTCTTTGGCAAGATATTGATCTACATTTGCCACACTCCACCCAGGTGAAGTAAATGGGTACCTGATAGGAATTTATTCCTTGAAACGCAGCGCGCGTAACAGCTGCACTGCTAAAGCCAGGGTAATTATGCTGCATTATTGTAGAGCGCTTAGAGACTTCTGACAAAGTAAGTGTTAGGCGCTATATAAGCACTGTAATTATTATTATTATTATAAATGTGATGGACGGACTATCGATATTACCTTAATTTGATTTTACGAAAGTAGTTGCAATCGTGTTAAATTTGAACCAGTTTTGAAGAAAACGATAGTAGCATCGCCCCTGAAGTCTCTTTACCCATTGTTTGTCAGTCAATTTGATAAATGGGTCGTTCTATCTAATCGTGAATTTCCCTCTGTATTATTGTGAAAATCATCAAACTCCGCTTTTATTTCGCACTTGACACGACAAACTGCACCTATTCACTCTTATCGATGCACACAACGTTAATTTCTCTAAGTAATTTGACTTTAAGTTATTGGTTTCATACTGTTTTCAATTTCACACTAATATCATGTATAAATTGTGACATATTATTCAAAATTAACTAATTTGTTAGATTGAGAGTAAGCATAAATAAAACAAAGATACAATTTTTGCATGCAATTGTATCAAACAATTTTCTCTCTCTCTCTCTATATATATATATATAATATATCTATATTTCTTTCATCAATATTCGTCTTCAAACACATTTGTTTTGAAAATCCTTGCAGAAGTTTGTCTTAAAACTAATGACATCCTCTTTCACATCATTATACAATTCAAGTGAAATTTTGCCATCAAATTTTTGGAGCTCCCAACAACTTTAACCGTAGGCTGAATTATCTCGGTAAAATAATAATTTTGAAGCACTAGAAATGTAGGACAGAGGTATATCAAGACGAAGGTATCTTTCAAATGTATGTGTTACCTAAAGACAAGTTTAATCAGGTTAACTGATAAACAAACACGGTGTGAAATGCTTTTTAAAGGGTTATTTTTCTTTTTGTGTGTTTTTTTACAACACAAGAGCAATAAATGAGAAAGAGCAAAACATAGCCATCATTGGATACTACCCGATACTGTTCACGAAACTCTTTATTTTGTTCGAGCTGTAAGTATGGAGGCTACGAATACGATATTGAGTTGATTGTTATTTCCACGTTTAAAATATTGGGTATACTGTTAGGCATACGTCAACTGGCACACAAGCATGTTAGAAAAAAATTATGTAAACAAATATTGCCACGCCATTATGTTGACTTTTTAACTGCTCGATTGCCCTTTCATCCTCACGTTGCTGTATTGTAATATTATCTTTAAACACAACCATTATAATCAAAATAAATATAGGTATGACTTAAGTTTGTATGAATCATATGATAATTAATGTCGCCAAGAAAATTATATGAGCGTCAGATTTGAGTAAATAAAAACTGTCTCATGATTATTATCATTATTATTATTATTATGTTGGTTCGCAGTGTTAATACCTTGATATTTTCTTTTTAATCTGAAAAAAAAGTGCAGAGACTTGTAAAACTAGACCACTTTGATTCGGGGGAAAAGGACCAATGTGACTGTCACCAAATATTAAAATGAAAATCTCTGTAATCTGCCGGGCAAGTGAAAACAGTGAAGCCTTTCGAATTTTCAAATCTACAGACTTAATTATCCGAAATTTCCCCGACAGTAAAAAATGACATTTCTCCCTGCACCATTTTGCGCAGAAAATAAACGAAAGTAATCCACAACAATGTAATCTGACGGGAAGACATTTAGGAAGAATTGTTACATCCCTGTTAGCGACTCTCCTAGTTATAAGTCGATGACTATACTATTATGATTAGCAATCTTTCAACAATTATCTTATAATGGAGGCAACGTGTTCATATTGATATTTGCATTAAACGGGAAGTTGCTTGCAAAAC